ATCAAGTACTTTCCCAGTCATTGCTATGCTGATGGATATGGAGACTGCCTGTGCGGAAACTGAGCGACTTGCCATCTTGCAAGACGATGTCTCCTTCCCTAACATGCAGCAATCTGAACTTGGGTACAATGGGAAGCTTAGGGGTGTCAGCATGTAATGGATGAACACTTACTGTGTGCGAGACACTGTGCCAAGTGCTTTACAATATCACATGTGATCCTCACAATCGCCCCATCAGAGAAGTACTTTTATCATCCCATTTTACAGACGAAGAAAACGGAGACTCATCTAGTTCATGTATGTTGTCCACAGTCCTACAGCCAATGAAGGGGCAGAGCTGGAATTCCAGCCAGGGCCTTTGCTCTCACCCACTGCACCAATAGCTACCATTGGCCAACAGCAATGTCTGTCAAGTGCCAGGCTGCAGACCAGAGCCAGAGCCAGGGCAAGCTTTCATAGGTCCTCAGCGAGATGAGGAAGACAAGGACAATGTTGTGGGGTTTTCATAAAGCTACATCTATTCCATTTAAATGACTGTCCTTGGGGCCCCTGGGTGGTTCAGTCCGTTAAGTGGCTGCCTTCGGTTCACGTCATGATCCCAGGGTCCTGGGATTGAGCCCTGTGTCAGGCACCCAGCTCAGTGGGGAGTCTGCTTCTCCCTCTCCCTCTGCCCCTCCCCCTGCTTGTGCTCGCTCTCTCTGTCAAATAAATAAAATCTTTTTTTAAAAAATAAAGTGATTTATTGAAAAAATGCTTACTGAGTCCTACTCTTGTTAGCCACCAGAATTGGAGAATTAGTGTTAGATGCACTGGAGCTACAACAAACAGGACAGACATGCTCCTTGCCTTCGTGGAGCTTATATTGAAGTGGGGACAATTGCACATTGTGATGAGTGCTAATAAGAAAAGACACTGAATGGAGAATAGCAATGGACAATGGCGGAAAAAATCCTTTTAATCAGGGAAGACTCTCTGCAGAGGTGACATTTAAATTAGACTTAAAGGGGTCACTTTAGTGGCTCCGTCGGTTAAGCATCCAACTCTTGATTTTAGCTCCGGTCATGATCTCAGGGTTATGAGATCGAGCCCCGCATCAGGTTCCGCACTGAGCCTACTTAAAATTCCCTCTTTCTCTCTCTCTCTCTTTCCCTCTGTCCCTCCCCCATCTCTCTCTCATTCTCTCTCTCTCTCAAAAAAAAAAAAAAAAAAAGATAACCTAAGACTTGAAGGATGGAGCCTGCTGTGGGTGAGGAGGAGCAGGCAGAACAGCATTCCAGGTGGAGGGAACCTGCGAATGCAAAGACCTCCGGGTAGGGAGGAGTGTGGCTTATTTGAGGAACTTAAGGCAGAATAACAGAGCTGAGGCATGGGAACAGAGCCAAGAGATGGCAGCAGGCACTGTCAGAATGCACTGGAAAGCTGGTGAGGGGCCTTAAGAAGGGTGGAGCATGGTCAGGTTTGTATGGAGGCTACATCAGGAAAGAGTGTTTAGGGACCAGCTCAGAGGCCAGTGATGCACTGCAGGCACAAGATGGTGGGGGCCTGAGCTGGCGCTGCTGCTGGCCATAGGGCATGAAGCAAAGGGGACCGAATCTAAATATCCATTGGAAGGAGAAGAAAGTGCCTCGATGATGGGTGGGCTTTGAGTGGGGTGAAAGGAAGGGAGAAACAAGGGGGTACAGGGGGCACAGTTGATGGATTCGGGTATCAGAGAAGTTTCTAACTTGAACATCTGGGTCTGCGATGCCTCTGGAGCATCCAAGCAAAGAACTGAATGCTGCTTTTTGCAGCTCAGAGGAGAAGCCTCAGCTAGAACTGTAAAGTTGGGGGTAATCTACCTGCAATTTTAAATATCTAGAGGTAGATTCGGGCATGGAAAAGAATGTTACAATTACAGACTCAAGTTGCCCATTATAAAACCTAGCTTTTATTAAAGACTTTATGTTCAATTTACAAATCTTGTTATTACATTATAAATCTAGTGATTTTTCATGTAAAGATAAGAACAATCACTTTCACTTGTTCTTTGACTACTGTTGAATTAATTCTTAAGTTTAGTACATTCAATCCTCCTTAAACATTTAACAGACTTACAGCTTTAATTAACCAAATTTCCTTAGACATTTAAGACTACAAATTTAATATGCCTGATTTTCTCAAACATTTTAAATGCCCAACAGGGCAGACTTACAAATCCAAAAAGCAAGATCTGTCTAAGCACTTAAGCAGCTGTTGTAAATTAATTACCTATAAAGTTATAAATGTAGCAAAGCAGATTCTCTTGGCCATTTCAAAGAATCTCAAATCCTACACAAAGCAAGGCAAGGATCACAGAAGCGCCTCTTGGTATTCATTTCTTCATTATCTGAATATTTATTTATATTTCCTTTCTGGAAGTAATGAATATTAACAGATTTACTCCCAAAGGAATCAGAATTTTTTTTCCAAATATTGCTATTTGTAACTGAACTACATAATAACATGGGGGGAGAACTTACGATCAAATATTCCTGGAAGAAAGACTATAGGATTGTATATAAAGGGTAGTTAAAAGCCTATGTCCCCCCCTCCTCAAAAAATTACACGGAGGCTGGAGTTATCAGTCTGGGTCCAATTAGAAGAGAAACCACACAGCAATTTGAACGGAGGAAAATTAATATAAAGTTATTAATTATAACAGGGGAACTGTAGTAAAGGAGTAAAGAGAACTCTAAAGAATACAGGAATAGCAGATAAGGAGCAGCCAATACCCCAGGTGCTGAGATAGAGCACCAGAGGAAAAGGCACCCATCCTCCTCTCCTGGGGAGGGGAAGCTGGAGCTAAGGAAGCTGTGTGTATTGTAGTAGCCTGGCGCTGGATGCAAGCAGTGTTTTGAAAAAAATATCTAAGGGCAATAAATATATGTGGGAAATGTAGAGCTCTCATCCGTACCAGTCAACTTTGGAACCAACATCACACACTGACTTGTACAGATACCCAACTGTTTTTTGCTTATGTATCTGAGCTCCCCTACTAGAAGATATTCTCTTTTAGGACAAAGATTATGTTTTATCCTTCTGCGGCCAGCCCTGAAATGAGTGTACATAATATGCTCAATAATTTATCCCGAATGCATGAACTCTGAGTGAGGAATTCTATTAAACTGTGCCTTTTTTTCCATTAATTTTCATTCTATTTTGCCTACTATAAAAGCAATAAATGCTTATTGGGGAAAATGCAAAGTAGACCAAAAGGAGAAAAATATCAACCATAGTTCCACTACCCAGGAATAATTACTATTAGTACTTTGGTGTATATTTTATGCACAAATAGTTGCTTTTTCGTTTTTTAACTTAAATGTACACACATCATATCCCATATGCAATTTTATACCCTGCATTTTTAACTTAACATGAATAGAGCACTTCTCCAATTCATCATCAATTCTTTGTTGAAGAGTCAATGATGAATATTATATATAGAAAAAATTTACATTGCTGTTGAAACTACCTTAAATGTGGAAAACATCACAAAATATCTCATTCTGAAGATGTTTACTTAACCACTTTTCTTGTGGAACTTGAGGTTCGTTTTCTATTATAAATAACCCTACAATGAACATCGTTGTTTAATATTTTCTCTGGTAGGCCAATTTCCTGAAATGGCTGTCCCACATGTGAAATTACTAGGCTAGAGGGTACAAATACGTTTAAGGTCACTGAAGAAAATTTAAGATCACAGGGCATCTTCTTCTAAACATGGGAACCGGTAGCTTTCCCTTTTTCATCAGGACACAAATCAGAAGCCTCTTCAATGCCAAGCCAGCTAGTACTACCTAATAGGTACACGTGCACACCTAACATTCCCCCCTCCGCGCCCCCTCCCCACCGGACCCTACCCCCAAGCCCTTACCCCCGTCAATGCTACCCATCCGTAAATGATTGTATGACAGAATAACCCTGGGCTAGTCCCTACGAGCCAAAGGCCCTCATTTATCACCAAGCTACCCAGCGGTGGCCTGACTAGGGGTGCTAGACTAGAAGATTTCCCTAAGGCCTTTCTAGGTGTGTGTGTGTGATGCCCTGGCACGGAACCCCAAGCTCAGGGAGTTGGTAGGTCACCGTCACCTCGCAGATAGACCGGGAGGCTTAAAGCAACAGAAGCTACAGCTTACAGAGCTCCAGGGAGGGCTCAAGACACGGCAAGCCCTTCCCCATGCCGAGATTGGCCCTTGATCCTCCTCCACCCCCAACCTTTTCTCCGCGTCCTCCGCAGCCTCTCCTCTTCCCCGCGGTTCCCCGAGTCCACCCTCCAGACCTTATATTGACTTCCGATTCTTCCCAGCCGAGGGGTCACCCAAGCTCCCAGGGGTCTTCTTCGTCCCTCTCCTTCTCTTTCCGCGCCGACCAAGCCAGTCCCAGTCTCCAGTCTGAGGTCTCCGCCACCCTCAAGCATCCGACTACCTTGCAATACCCGCCATCAGACCCTCATCATCTCCTCTGCACGTCTTTCCACGTATCTGTACCGGGTTGTCCCTCAGTCTTTCCCGCCATGTCTGGCTTTCTGTCCTATTTCAACCACCCTACCTCCCACCGGTCTACGGGTCCTCTGGCCCTGGTTCTTCGGTTTTATCCTGTCCTTCTCATGACACAACTTCTATCCCCGAAAGGTTCCCCCCTCAAATAACCCTCCCTACGTTTGTCCCTCCGCACCCCCGCCCACGTCTGTACTTCTGTACGCCCCCGAATGTGCTCCTCTGTTCCCAGAGTCTGGCCCTCGGTCCAGCCAGGCCCCTGCTCACCAACCCTCCCCCAGCCTGAAGAGTGTGCGGCCCCGTTCCCCGCCCGCACCCTGGTAACTCTTCCCTCTTCCACTTTCTCTACTTTGAACCCATCCCAGCAGAGTCCAGGAAGTAGCCAGGCGCCGGGGACTGGCGGCGGAGGCGCCCAATGGGGCACGCCAGCGGCGGCAGCGGCCCCGCCCAGAGAGCAAACGCGGCCAATGGCCGTGCGGAGGCGGGACTTCCGCTGTCCCGCGGAGGGCGGGGGAGCGAACTGTTGTGGTGCGGAGCGTTGGGCGGGCGGCGGCCGGGCGGCCCAGGGGCTGCCACGGGACTCGGGGCGCAGCCGAGCGGCTGCAGGGGTGGGGCGAGCCGGACGCGCCCCCGGGCCCGGGCGCCGCGGGTTCGAGGCCGGGCCCCGCGCGGGGAGGCCGCGCCACCCCGGGAGAGCTGCCCGGCGGCGAGTTTGCCCCGCAGCCGAAAGAAGGCGGGAGCCGGCGGGGGCCCTCGAAACCCCCTGGCAAGCCGGGCCCGGAGTCCCCGGGGAGCGGCTGCTTCCTGGGACGCCCTCCCGGACGCCCCCGCCGAAGGGTAACGGTTCTGGGCCCCCGGCAGAAGGCGCCTCCGGGTGACCCCCGGCGGGGCCCTGCGAGCCGCGGGAGCCAACCCCGGGGCCTCGAGCGGGGAGGAAAGGGCTTTCCAAAGGCGCGGAGCCGGGGGCCGAAGGAGCCGGAGCGCGGCGGAGCGGAGCCGGGCCTCCCGGGCGCGGGGCAGGGCAGCGCCTGGTCTGGGGACGGACTCCGGGACCCTCGGGTGCGGGGGCCTCGGCGACCTGCCCCGCGGGGCGCGCGGCCGCGGAGTGGCCTACAGGGGATCCTCCCGCAGAGGGGCCGGCCCGGGGCGGGGAGATGAACGGCTTTAGCACGGAGGAGGACAGCCGCGAAGGGCCCCCCGCCGCCCCCGCCGCCGCCCCGGGCTACGGCCAGAGCTGCTGCCTCATCGAGGACGGCGAGCGCTGCGTCCGGCCCGCGGGCAACGCCTCCTTCAGCAAGAGGGTCCAGAAGAGCATCTCGCAGAAGAAACTCAAGCTGGACATCGACAAGAGCGTGAGTCCGCCCCCGCCCCTGCCCCTTCCCCTGCCCCCTTTGGGTCCCCGCGCGCCGCCGCCCTCCGGCCGCTGTCCCCGGCTGCGGGCCGGACCCGGGGCCCTCCCCGCCCTGGGCCTCGCCGCCCTTTATTTGCAAACTGGGGAGTTGCACTCGGGATTTCAAAGGCCGCTTCAGCGCAGACAGGCTCGGACTGGGATTCTGCCCAAATCCGGGAGGTTGGGGGCGGGGGGAGGGGGGCTTCCGAGGACCTTTCCTGCCTGGGAAGATTTGACAACAGTTTAGGGCTTGTTGTATTGGTTTAGATATTGGGGCCCGGAGACCTGGGTTGATTCTGTTGGCCCACGAAGAAGCAAGTGTTGGGGAGAGGGTGATAAAGGGACCCGGCTCTTCTTCAACTTCTCTCTCCTTCTCGGAACCCTGTTATTCCTTCAGAAAAGGAAAGGTGGCTGTTACTTCCCACTCCCACCCACCCCCCACCACCCCTGCCGCGGCCTCGGCTTCTGCAGAGGGTCACCGAGCTCGCTGCTTCGCATGCAGCTGTGGGGAAATGGGATTTTGAAGGATGTGGCAGAAATAAGGCCAAGGCCAGGTCTTGGGAGGAGGCTCTTTGCAACCCAGGTGACGGGGAGGAAGAAAATCAATTTTCTTAGGGGTAGCTTCTGTAGAAAGGCGTTGGGGAGGGGGCTTTAAATTTGAATGGAATAGCCCTGTGTTTTGTGCCTAATTATAGTAAAACTTTTCCTGTTATATTTCACCACTTCTAGTTAACAATTCTAAAGATGTGCCTATTGTCAACCAATTAAGAACTTTTTAGTTTGACATCTGTTGCTGCAAGCCTTAAGTGGCTGCCTTGTGATTAGGAATTGGAAATGAGTTAAGGGAGTATTTAATATTCAGGTAGAACTGCTAAAAGCTCAGGTGGTTAACATCCATTCTCTTTTGGGACCCAAATTCCACTGTTGGGGGAAATTAGAGATTGCTTGTTAAACTGAAAGGACACGCACTTTTCTACTTCAGATCTTACAGTTGAAACTGAGGCCCAGAGATAAGAAGTGACAAAGCCAAAGTCACACAGTGACTAAGAGGCTGGTTAATTTCTTAAACCCATTATCTGACTTACTTCCAAGCCCCATGCATAAGCCTTGATGAAGTCCTAATAAATAAAAAGTCTTCCCACCTCTTCTTCCAGGCTCTTCCCTCCCACCCCCAATTTATTTATTTATTTTTTTACGTTAACAATTGCAGTACCTTTGCCACTCTTGAAAGATGCTGTTTTTTAAAATGGCTGGGGGTGAGTTAATGGCTTTCTTACTACAAATCTCTATTAACGAATGAATGAAAAGAATTCATCAGAGAGCAAACAACTGGCTAGACACTAAGGTCCAGATTAGGACACGTGTTGAAGTGAAATGCCTAATTCTAACACAGCAGTGAATTCCTCCTCTTGGAAACACTGCCTACCTTTAGTGTAGGTGGTTGGGAGCCTTTACTTGAGCAGCTTATAATATTTTCCTGTCCTTAAAAAAAAAAAAAGGAAGGAGGGAAGGAATTTCCAGTTCTTTTAAAGCCTTGGATGCCATGACATGTGAACAATTGTGTCGCTGCCACTGGGGCACCATTTACCCAGTGACCCCGCTGGAGAACCTATGCTGAGCTGTGTTGGTGGTTTCACACACACTGTCTACAAGAGAGGCAGCAGGAGCCTGGCCCTGGAGTTCCCCAAACGTAGTGCTTCTGGAGGAGGAGTGTCTCAAGGTGGGATCACTCAGTATGTTTCAAGGTGGTGGCGCAGAATCATTTCTGAATGGGATTCTACCTCATTCTCACAGGCTTGGGCAGGAATTCAATTTTAAGTAACTGCCATGTTACAGGAATTTTTAGCTGTTGCAGAAAGTTAAAACAGAAAAGAAAAACACTGGAACCTTTGCTACCATCCTCCTTCCTCCACCTGTAGCCCCCAAAGGCCACTGAGCTCTGAAATTTCTGAAAACCAGTACGTACTTGAAAATGGTTAAGGAGAAATAATGACTATTTATCTTGTAAAAGGGCCTAGCAGAGAACCTTTTTAAATAATAGCACCAGAAATCCAACTCAGGCAGCTTAAACTCATTTCATGTAGACATTGGCCATGCGCTATGAGTTATTAATATATAACATGCTTTCAAACATTCCTTCAATTGACATATTTCTGCTTTATTTTGGAGAAAAGTGGAAGTTGAAAATAGTATAAAGAAAATGCTGGGGTAGGAAAGGACATGCACAAGGGGTCAGAAGGACTGGGTGACTGACCAGATCATAACCCCGTCTGTGTGGCTTCTGTTTATCTCTGTAGAAAATGAGATTGGGGCCAGTGGGGTTACACTGGTGATTGCTAAGTTCTCTTCCATCCAGAATTCCATTATTCTAGTGTCCTGACCTGAAACCTCCCAGCCACAGCTTCAGGAAATCACCTCTTCTGCCTGTTCTCCTACCAAGTGTGTCCCTCTATGAATTTGAGGAGCTGCTTCATCTCAGAGTTTGCATGTGGAACTAGCTAACAGGAGGGCCAGCTTCCCATCAGAGAGGGATAGTATGCTTTCTTCCCCGGTAGCAGCATGTCCGATGGACTGTACATCAGCTAGGAGGGATTCGTTGGGACGGTGACACTGGCTGTGTCCAAAAGTCCTTTGGCAGAGTGGATGCCGGCAAGGCTACTTGAATTTGTGACCATATGTAAAAGGTGGCTTTTGCTGGCCGAAGCTGCTCTCAGACAGGAGGGACCGCATGTGCTGGTACGAGGGTGCTTGGAGAATGCCTGCTGTCTGCAAGATGCGGCCACAGTATAAACTGAAAAGTGCTCCGGACTCACTATTCCAACCCCATGGAAGTGCTGCTTCATTGGACTAAAAAGCAGTTTTCATTATTTTCTCCATGGAAAGATCTGAATTAATTGATGCTGGCTTCCTATCAGCTTAGTTTTGTCTTTAAGAATTTAAGGAATAAATTCAAATTCAGAAGTCTCTCAAGAACATTTGTGTCCATCTGTTCCAGTGTCAGGACCCCCAAGTCATTGACACAGGAACTTTGTTTCTGTTAGGGTTTTGAGTGGCTCCCCCAGCCGCCCCTGGTACTTACATTCTTCAATAAAGACATGTTCACCTCCCAGCTGTTAATGCCCCCAGCCCTCACTAGAAAGTCGGCAGTAGCATCCAGCTTCTTTCATGTGGTTTCTGGGAGAAAGAGACTTTCTGCATCTCTTCCCACTTCTCTTTGTGGACCGGATGTGTGGTGATGCAAGGAGTATTATTCTGATACACAGGAATAAAGTTTTTCAGATGTCGTCCTACAGTAGGAGCTGTTGTCAGTGTAAAAATAGGAAGTCCTGTCTACCATTACCACAGTCCCTTCTTTCCTCCTTCCTGGGACAGGACAGTGCCTTCCAGCCCATTGTAAATTCATAACTCCTGTAAGTCACGTCACTCTCTGCTTCAAAAACCTTGGGGGACTCTGTCTAGTCTGAAGGAAAGTCTAAGCTGTTCTCGTGCCCCCACCCCTGAATCTCTTGGTCATCCATATTTGAAACTCTTAAGTCTTGGCTCGTCTTCCCATCTGGAATGCTTCCTGTCTACCCATAAATCCTCCTGTTTAGTCAGGGACCTCTACACTGACTATCCCAGCCACAGGCCTCTCTCCCTTGGCTGAACCCCTGCCATTTATTATCTCTAGCCTTCAGGGGGAACTTAGTTTATAAGCTGTTGCCCAGTGTGATGGTAGTGTTTGTGTCCCTTTGTCGGCTTCTTGTTCTACAACTCAACAGTAAACTTCTGGAAACTAGGGCCTCCATGTTGTTCTTCCTTCTGTCTCTTCAAAGCCTGGCAAAGAAGAGAAGCCCCATAGTTCAGTAGATACCTGTTGCTGTTCCCATGGAATTGGCAAGTCTCACTTTAATTTGCTTCCCATCAGGTAAGACACCTGTATATCTGCGACTTCCACAAAAATTTCATCCAGAGCGTACGAAATAAAAGGAAGAGGAAGACAAGTGATGATGGCGGAGATTCTCCTGAGCACGATACTGACATTCCTGAGGTAAAAGTCAAAGAAGTCCGCCTGAGAAAGCTGGAAGAATGGATTCTAATGTGATCTTTATCTCTGGCCTGGTCCACTTTTTGGATTAAGAAATAATTTTAGTCCCCTTTGTTTTGCTGTGGTTTATCTGAAAAGTGCATCATAGAATCATGGTAATATTGAATCTGAGAGCTGAAAACTTAGAAATCAGCTGGTCTCACTGCCCCATCGTTTTACAGACAGGCACAGAGACCCGAGGTCACACATAGAGTTCGGGACCTCTGGGCCACTGCCCTTTCCACTAGGCCCTACTGCCTTTCCTCAGGAAGCCCCTGATACATTCTTGAATATAACCACAATGTCAAGTTTTTTAAAACTTCTTTTTGCCTTTAGAGTTGGAGACTGAGCTTGTATGGGTTGGGGGAAGTTACTGGCCCTCTGTTTTCTGATCTGCAGAATGAAGGTGTACATTGTCAGTTCATATCAGCTCTGGTCCCTGGTTCCCCAGCTCTGGTTCCCCAGGAGCCATTCCAAAGTCAGTTATATGGGCCCAGGGTTTCTCAGCCCTGACTCTGCTTTGTCGTGGGGGCTGTCTTGTGCATCACTGGATGTTTAGCAGCATCCCTGGATTCTGCCCATTAGATGCCAGTCACCAAAGTAGTGACCATCAAAAAATGCCTCTAGACCTTAGAGGATGTCCTCTGGGGGCAAAACCAACCCTTGCTGAGGACCATTACACTGGACGATGAGACCAGTTCAAGGCTTCTTGAACCTTCAGGGTGCTGGTGCCTATTGAGCAAGGCTACAGAAAGGAGTATTGGATTTTTTTTCTAAATTGTTTTCACTTAAGACTCAGCAGAAGAAAACCTGTTTGTAATGTACATTGACTATTTGACACATGAATATTTCATAAGGCAACCGCCTGTTAGCACTCAGAGTGGAAATGACTGCGTAGGAATAGAAAGAGTAGGCGGGCCTTTGTCTGCAGATGTGGAGAAAGCCTTTGAAAATATGGTCCTTTCCCTCTGCCCCTCCCTGTATCCCTTTTTCTAGCATTGGTTTACAGTATTTTTCTATTGCCTTCAGCATTGGTATTATTATTTCATAAAGAAATGGATGTATTCAATTTCAGTGCTTTTTACAAAAAAAAAAAGGGGTTTGAGGAATGTTTTGAAAAGAATGAAGGACTTTGGTCCCTCATATTGATCATTCATTTTGTTTTTAAGTGCTCTCCACCTGCCTGAAGCAAGAACATCTCTTTTAGAGGCAGGTAAAAGCAGCCCAACTTTCTGGGCCTTCAATACTTAATGACTGTGCAGCTTTCCTCTCTTCCTGTGTTAGAAGAAAAGGGGGGGTCCTTTCCCTCTGTTATCCAGTCATTTGCAGGGACCCCAACCTAACCTGCTGATTTGTACATTCGCCACGGTAGCTTTCGAGTTTTCTCTGGAGAGTTGTTCAGGGTTCTGACACCTGAAGGCTGAGCCTAGGGAAGAACTCTGGGAACAGCAGTACCTCCCGCTGTCCTATCTCAGGCCCCTCCATCTGGTCTGCTACCAAGCTCAAGCCTGTCTTCCTCCAGGATGCCTGTCTGGGTTTACCTTTGCTCCCCATGCTTGGTGTCCCCCTCTGGTATCACCAGTTTCCAAAGCTCAACTTGAGCATCTCATTTCCGATCACGGCTACAGCACGGTCGCCTGCACCCCCCATCAATCTTCCCTACAAACCACCACTAGATCCGTCTTCCTGAACATCACCCCCTACCACCTATGGTCGCTCCTTCTGCTTTTCAAGACATGTTACCCTCCAGTCTCACCTTTTAAACCCATCGTGACTGCCTATGACACCCGAGTCTGTCTCTTCATCTCCTGGCGTTCTGTGCTCATGGTCTTCTCTCTCATTCCCTAGTCTAATCCTGTTACTCGCCGCCTCTCTAAGCCCTGCTCTCCTTAGCTATAAGTTTCACCGCCTCCGTGAGCTTCCTGGGACCACCCCTCCCCAGCTAGAACTCTTTTTCCACTGTTTTGTTTGGTTTTTTTTTTTTTTGGTTCTCCCAGCCAGTTATTAGTCCTCAGTGGACCATTTCTAAGACATCTCTGTAGTCCTCTTCCCCCCTCCCCCCGCGCCCCTCCTAGTGTAGTGCTGGGCACGAAGTGTGCTCTCGGTGAGCCGTGGCTAGTCAGGTGATGGATAATGTGTTTCTCCTCTTCTCTCCAGGTTGATCTGTTCCAGCTGCAGGTGAACACTCTACGGCGTTATAAACGACACTACAAATTGCAGACCAGACCAGGCTTCAATAAGGCCCAGTTAGCAGAAGTAGGTAGACAAATTGCACTGCAAAAAGAGAGAGCCAGCATTGTGCTTCTGATGGTGACCTTGGTTCTCCCTGCTGCTACGTGTGTCTGTTGATCATAATGCCCTGCAAGTAACTTCCTAGCTCTGCAAGTAACTTCCTGTTCCTTCTCTCGTACAATCTAGAATCCCACACCTGTAAGACCTGGAAAGGCCCTCTTTCTATAAAAGAAACCATGGCACTGAGAGAGGAAAAGACTTGCTTAAAATCACACAGCAAATTAGTAGTAGAACTGAGCCTTGAATCTTCAGACTCCTGATTATAAGTTCTGAGTGTGCTTTTGTTTGTGCATTTGTTTGAATCTTGTTTTGTAAGATTCCATATAAATACGGTTCTTCCTGCACATCCCGTGTGTCAGATTAATCACCCCAAAACCTTTGCCCATATTCTGTGGGAGCTATTCTTTTTCTTTAGTTTTTCCTTTGATTTCTTCTCTGATGTTGGTAATGGAAGTATTTATTATAATGAATAGAACCCAAGAAATTTTTCTCTTACCCTGAGCTCTTAGTACAATTCAGAGGGGGAGAAATGCTCTATTGGCCCTTATTTGAACATACTGACAGACTGGCTTGATACTTCTGTCCTGTTGGCATTTGTGCGGGTTTCCTCTCGTCCCTCTTTTCTCAATGTGCTTTTCTGCCTATTGTTGAAAATATGGAAGTTGGAAAAAAGAAAAATAGAATGCTACCATCCAGAGGTCACCACTCTGTAGTGCTAGTTCTCGGACTCTTTTGATCTGTCCTAGCCCCCTCAATCCATTCAGAGATTTCCTTAAAGGTTGACAGCCCCATTGGTTTTTGGTCTTTCCTTTAGGGGTTTCTTGCTGATCCATCATTTTTTCTTAAACTTCCTTCCCCAGCATCTAGATAAAACAGAGATAGAAGAGCACAACTCTTGTCTACTTTAAGGTCACATTACCCATTTGGCAGCATTCCCCTGCTGAAAGGGATGGGATGAGGTGGGGCAAGGGCAGACCTGCATTATCAGGACTTGTAAAACAAAGCCAAGTGTCAGGAGTACACAGTAAATGACGAATTCTTTTTCGAATGTGATGTGTTTTTCAAGTGGCAGCTATGTAGTATTTAGATGAATTCTTGGGTCAAATACTTATATCTGTCCAACTGGCTATTCATTTGACACAGTTTTAAAAAGACGCTTTTCTGCCCGGTGGTGCCAGGGCCTGAGAGCTGGTGATGGTAACAGCTAGCCAAGCAGAGCCATCCCCACCTACTCCTCCTTGTGGGTGCCCTTGAGATTATGCCATGATGGACAGTTAGCTGCCACTGAAATAGAACTGCACCTTGTCAATGTTGTGGGTTCAAGTGCTGCTTTTGGAAGCCTTGAAACCAAGTCACCCAGCCGCCTGGGAGAGAAGGGCATCTGAGTTCTGCAGCACTGAGTTCTGCAGGGATCATAACCCCCTCCCTAGCTCTGGAAGCTAACCCCTGCTCCCTCTTTTGCACAGTTCAGAATTTGTGGTCCTGATGTATACGATGCTTTAACGGATTCTGGTGTTTTCCCCCACACAGACTGTCAGCCGACACTTCAGGAACATACCTGTGAATGAAAAAGAGACGCTCGCCTACTTCATTTACATGGTGAAGAGTAACAAGAGTCGGCTGGACCAGAAATCAGAGGGCGGCAAACAGCTTGAGTGAGGATCAAGTGCATCAAGGAATGAAGTATAATGCTGAACGCACAGGTGAAATCTACGTGTAAGCCCGTAAAGACTGTTCAATTTTATTGTAAATAAAAAAGTTTGAATGATGAATACTGTAAATCTTTTTGGTCAGGAGGATTATATTCTCACGTTCAGCATGTGCATACAAAGACTTTCTTTTAAGGCAACTACCGGACTGAAAAAACAAGATCACTGAGAGATTTAAAAATGATGTATTGCAGCATTCAACAACGCATTAAGTCAATTCTACTGGAAATGTGGGATAAAAAATATCCTGGTACTCACCTTGTACGACCACTCTGCCTTGTGTGAGGTATAGGCCTGGAAGAGCAGTGGGGTGCAGCTAACCGGAGAGGCACGAGTAGACCCCAGTCTGGTGGGCACAGTCGTGCCCCGCTTTGTTGCCGGCTGTGTCGTTGATCAGCAAATCAGTTTGACAGTGGTCTCCCTCACTGGCCGCTGCCCGGCACACAGTAAGCACTCAGTATGGGTGGCCAACTGCCAGCCTGGTAGCATCTGCTTCACACCTCCAGTTAATGAGACCTCTGCCATTTCTGTGGCTCACCACTTAACTTCTAGAATGTGGAGGAAATCCTGATGCACCAACAGGAGGTTTCTTATCAGAAGAGGATTTGAGGGCAGTCGCAGGCACCAAGCTATATTGGCGGAGAGGTTCCAGAAACATTGATGCAGGGGCCCTCGCAGGAGATGCAGCTCTTTGTACATCACTCTGTGCTTTACTCTTTGGGGTGAAATTATAAAGTATGACTTCAGTCATCCTAGGCCATAAATACTTTGATAAATGGAGATATTTAGTGATTTGGGGCTCGTGTTTTCAGAAATACTAATCCTTAGTTCACAACCACCAAGAAAACTGCCAAGGATCATGTGATTCCTGCTCAGAAGTCCACTTCTGGGATAAAAGGTCTGACTGGCCGTGACTCCGTGGGCTTGGGGTCACCAGCAAATCATGGGCTTGAGCAACAAAGGTCAGTGCCATCTGATCTTCATTTTTGTGAGCCGTTTACCTCCCTCTGGGGGGGCGGAGATTGCTACAACAATTTTTTTTAAATATGAATAATCACCTGATTTTTTTTGAAGTTCAAAAACTCAGATTCCTGTATCTTACTATATCAGAGCCAAAGTCTCCCTTGAAAACAAAGCTTTATATCCAAAAGTATGCTTTTGCAAAAGTTTCTAATCAGTGTGTTAGGGGACAAAGGATATGAATAGGGGATGGAAGAAAAGAGAAGACAAGGACTTGGATCTAATTTCTGACCATCTTGACACGTATTGCAGTCAAAAGTATCATTTTCTTACTCAGTTTTAGTTGTGAGTGCTTTCTTAAGCCTTAAATTATAAAAGGAGCCGTGGGTGGCCTAGCCCGGCAGAGAGTTTTAATGTCTCATAAATCGCTTACTCTGAGCATCAGCACAGAGAAGTCCGAACACAACCCCCGCTAAGCAGGGCGGTGCAGTGTCTGAAGGCTGGGTTCTGTGGGGCAGAGGACCATGCTGTCTGTGGATTGGGGACCGGCCACCCCCTCACTAAATCGCAGTGTGTTCCATTGCAGCAAAGCGTTCACCAGTGTTCAAAATGCATGTCTAGCAGATTGCAGCCTTTTTAAATATGTATAAATGAATGTACATAGAACATATTCTAGACTATGAGGCGATCTTATTTTAATACACCCAGCTGTGGATGGCACATCAAGGTGCTCTCTGAGTGTTTTTAGTCATTCAGATTCAGTATGTAGAGACTGTCTCACTGCTTATAGCTGAAGGATGTTGATGTGCAGACATCAAGAAGCTCAAAGTTCTGTTGCTTATATAGGTTTTTCTCCTGAGAGACTGAGTTAGAAAGTCTTGAAGGCATCAAACACCAGGCCCCCTTTGTCAAGGGGAGTGTTTTCTCATCAGGCCACAGTTTGGGGGGCAGATGGCGCCTACAGGTGAAGGCATTGGTAACCTGCTCTCTGGAAATCTCCATCTTTTACTGAGAAAATGTATCTTTCTGATGTTGAAGTGAAAATCGCCGATGTGTAGGTCATGTCACTATTTCTCTAACAGCAAATCTGTTTCCCAGTTGAGGGAGACAACAGTACATTTCTGTACAAGAAGCTGTGGTGTTGGGATCCATCTGTTCCCGTGTCTCTAAGAATATTTTTGTTCCAGTGTGAAGCCTGGGGAAACGCTCACCTTCAGCCAGATGCTCTGCGCACCTGAGTCCACCCTGCCACCTTCCCTCAAAAGAGAGGTGCTTTTGGAAAATGGAGGCTGTGGGTATCTTTTCAACTTTTGAAAACATGTCAGATGAGAGAAAGGACAAAGCTATATGAACTTACGATTTTCTTGTGTGCAGAAATCTGTTCTTTCATCAAACCACTAAGCCACTTGCCTTAGCCTCTTCTGCAGTTTCCCAAGGCTTCATCTGTGGGCAGGAGACTTCTGCCTGTTAGAAATGGCTCCGAAGCAGTGGAGTTTGGGGAAAGCAGTGTTCATCTTGGCTGCCTACATTTTTATACACCTGCCAAGGACTCTTGCGCTTCTCTCCACCTATAATGTTGCAACATTGCCTTCTCTCCTCTTGGTGCTCCTGGGCAAAACTGGAATGTGAAATCCAGAGCTGACCTTGTCTTCTTAAAGAGTACGGTTCCTGCCTCGGTCCGGCTTGGTATGGTTCTTTCATATGCCCTGAAGGTTGTCACGTGGAAATGCCAGTATCCTGCCACTCGTGTTGCTTCGATTTAGGGTATTAAAAAAACAAATGGACAAACTTCTTATTTCAGCAAACTCTTAGGTTGGCAACATCACGTGGAAAAGCTCATAGCCGAATCCCACGAGAGATTGAAACCAAAGGCGTCAGGATTGGCATTATAAAATGACAAGGAATTTCACTTACGTGTTAGAGCCACCAAGTTGTCAGAAGTTCCTGTCGTAGCTAAATACTCACTGCTAGGCTTCCAGAGAACAGATATCAATAATCGTTTGCAGCTGGAATGTTGCATCTAACCTTGGCATTTCAGCTGCTTATTTTGTGGGAACTTTTTGGTTAATATCCTTCAGGACAACTGCCTGGTGGAAGGGAGATAGCAGGAGAGGGTACTTACTCGAGGGGTCTTGTCTGTTGAAATAGGCTATCCGGACCATGGATCCCAGAGAAGTTGCTTCATGGAAGTCACCTGAAGGCTCTCGGTCATTATGGTGAGATCCAAAAGTTGGGAAAGGGTCTTTAAGTCATCAGTCCAGTCTCCCCACAGGTGCTGACATTCTGCCTACAACTGTCCCACCAAGGGTTTGAGCAGTCTGGGCTTAAACACCTTTGAGGTCAGGGAACTCACTACCTCCTGGGGAAGCCTGCTCCATCTCTATAAACCTCTGGCTTTTCTGTGTTCTCTGTCATTTCCATCTTAGTCTCTGCCCAGCAGGGGCCGTGTGGAACAAGTTGTTCATCTAGGTCAAGGACCCTCATTGCTGGCACTGTCCCAGGGCACGGCAGTTGTCTTTTGGAAAGGAGCAGCTAGCAGATAGATATTTTGGTGTCCTGGCTGTCTTTCCCCTTTAGCATGGGTCCACTTAGTTCCTTGTTGAAGGATGTTGTGGAAACCCCATCAGCCTGGTTCTCCCGTGTTCTTGCGGAAGCTGATGGAGGGGGTCAGGGAGGAGGGGATGCTATCAGCCTGATTAAAAAAATAACCTAAGAAGGAATGGGGCCCTAGTTCTGTGCTTGCCCCACAAAAACTGATGCTCACGTCACTTAGGAAAAGTTTTAGCTAGGAGATTGTAAAATACTGCTCTGTGTGGAGTTTAGGGGCTCCATGGCTGCTGAGAGCTTGTACCTTAAGATTTCTGCAAGTACTTCTACACATTGTTTTTCTGGAGAAAACAAAGCTTAGGACCTTGGGGGAGGGGCACGTCACATGTCTCTGTGTCTAAGAAGTGCCATATTTTCAAGCTGGAAAGTCTTGTTACTCTTGCCCCATCATTCATTTTGAAGACAGGAAACTGACATTGAGGATGACCTGTCTGAGTCACAGGACACTGTCTGGACTAACCTCCTGTCCTTCTGACCTGTCCAGAGCTCTTCTCACTCTGACTTGCACATGACTCGAGTCCTGTCCAGAGTAAGCTGCCTTCAGATATTTGCGACCTTGCCACTGAGCAGAGAGGTCCCCAAGGCCAGCCTGGCTCCCAGGGGCTGTGAACCAACCTGCTGGACTCAAGGCTGTGTGACACAATCAGGAAAGCAGTTGAGTTTTGCCAAATGAATGTGAGGGGAGAACAGAATTAGCTGATGATTTAAGACCAGAGTTCAGAAGTCCTGGCGGGAGGTGTAGTGTTGTCCTAGAATGGAAATTCTCATGAAATGGGCTTGCCCTGAGATCTGTTGGTCAGACTTCTGCCTTACAGGTGGTCCTTGGGCTTGTGTCATTCGGTCGGTCCTGAGTCCGACAGACACCACTCTGAGGCCCCGTGATTCGCGGCCTCCCAGTCCCCATTACTGGGCTCAACAGTTGAACCGAAGGACAGGTGAACTCGAGGTCATGGCCCGGGAAGCATGGTGCTTTGGGGTGCCTTTTTATTCCCTTCATTTTATTACAGACCGTTTCCAAGTTCAAGGTGAGGAAGGGTAAAGTTGATCTGACGTTTTGAGGTGGAGTTTAGTCTGGGGCCCGGTGGGACCTCTTCCTAAGGTAGAAATGTCTACACGCCGTTATTTCATCTAGCTTGTGTCCTAAACCACGAAGCCTTTGGTTGCTCTCACTCCACGAGCACCTCGTCACCAGGGATGGAGGGTTGTGCGGGACCCCTGCTGTACGTGTCTGCTGTCCGTGATGCCCATCGGAATGTTTCCGCCGTGTGGGTTTGTGTTGCATTTTGTAACTGCCTTATCAAAAAGCAAGTGCCCTTCCATTCCAGGCCTCCTCATATTGTACTTGTTTCCTGCCAAATTCGGAGGATCATTTGTATTTTAATTTTGTAATCTATGGCTCTGTACTGTTGAAAGGCTCTCAATTCTGTGGGGTCTCCTTAGTATGTATGTGACTTTTCATGTTGCAATATCACACAGATGGGATGGCCCGACTTTCGCTCTTAATAAACGATCTGAATGAGTAACGAGAGACACATTCTGTTGTTCTCCTTGACCGTCCACATGGACTTCGGATGCTTTCACTTCCGTATTTGGCCCTGGCTGTGTCATACAGCGATCGGTGACGATGGTCTTTCCTCCGGGCTCTGAGTACTGGCTCCCGCG